GCGCCACACCCACCGGCCGCCCCCACCCGCACCCGCACCGGCACTTCCGCATCGCGCTCCCGTCCCCTGGAAGCCCCTCGGACCACCCTCGCGGGCGGCGCCCGCACACCTCGCCCGGAGCTGGGCGCCGGCCCCTCCTCGGTCGCGCCCCACGCGCCGCGGCTCGCGCACCCGAGACCGCGCCGTCGTCGCCGCGCTGCGGCCCACTGACCCGCTCGCTCCGGTCCGCTGCCCGCAGCCCGTCGTCCCCGCCGCCACCTCACCCGCGCCCCGGCAGCCAGGGTTTCCGGACGCTCACGTGACCCGCCCCTCCCGGGGGCATGCTGGGAGTCGTAGTCCGACTGCGCCGCTTCACCTGCGAGTCGCCTAGGTGACAGCGGAAGGGAGAGGGAATGCGGGGGCCTCGGTGAACCTGGCTGTTGGGCTGGCGGACGGATGACGGCCAGGAGTGTCAGCTGGAAAAAGACAGTGAGAGATAATATATAATGATCTGGGCAGAATCGCTATATAGGGCATCTTTTTTTTTCCAGAAAAGCTTTATTCTGTTCTTTGTTTTTATAGAAAGTGACATGCTGCTAAGTTTGCTACTGACCAGGCATCAGGGCGTAAGCTTTAGACTTTTATTTAAATTAATTAAACGCAGTGACCCATGCAGGCAGGGCCATTAATCTGCCTCTGCCATTCACCTTCTGCACTCCACCCCACCCACCCAAACAAGTAAATGAGTGTTAAGATCCTGACAGCCTCAAACTAAAATTAAAGGCCTTAAAAGGAGGCAGGACTTGGAAGTGGGAACCTTCTAGTCTCCTGGGCTCTTTCACCTGTTGGGGGAATATAATTTTTTTTTTTAATCTCCCAACCAAGAAAATTTCTCTACAAAGATAGAGAAAGAAAAGTTTTACTATTGGATAAACATTAAACCAGAATGTGATGCTCATCATGATCTAACAGATTGCAAAGACAGAAAGGAATCTCCCGCATATACAGCCAAGCAGATACAACCCCTTACATGCATGTTCTCAAATAAGCAATCACTAGCCCTCAACTGAGAAGACCGGGACAGGAGCTTTTGTCACGTATAGTTGGTCCAAACTTTATCATGGCAACTGGGGAGACTGCCTGAATTGGCTTATCCAAAGGAGAAACAGACTTCTCATACCTCTAGGACAAGAGATAGTGTTGCAAATTGGAGCAAGACGCCCACAGAATTTAGGCTTTTAGCCTCCCAGAAACTAGGAAACTGGAGGACTATCACCCTGGATGTTTGTATTTCAAGATGGCTCCCGGGTCCTGGAAAGTTTCCTGATATGAGGCTAGCAAGAGGTTATTTAGCCATTATGAATGGCTATACATCTATTTGAAAAGGACAAAGGGCAGGGTAGAGGTGGGAGTTCTTATTTCCAAGGGAGACTTAAACCTCTTATTTTTAATTTGTATTTTCCTTTACAACAAGGCAGTTGTAGTTCTGTTCCCAGTCATCTGAGAGTGTGGCTGGGAAAATGTGATATCAGTGTGAGCAAAAACAAATTGCCCCAACATTTCACTTTTATTTTTAAAAATATTTTGTGGAGGGGCTCCTGGCTGGCTCAGTTGGTGGAGTGTTCAACTCTTGATCCCGGGGTTGTGAGTTCGAGCCCTACGTTGGGTGTAGAGATTACTTAAAAATAAAATCTTGGAGCGCCTGGGTGACTCAGTTGGTTAAGTGACTGACTTTGGCTCAGGTCATGATCTCACAGTTTGTGGGTTCGAGCCCTGCATCACATTCTGTGCTGACAGCTCAGAGCTTGGAGCCTGTTTCACATTCTGTGCGTCCCTATCTCTCTCTGTCCCTCCCCCCACTCACCTCTGTCTGTCAGTCTCTCCCTCTCAAAAATAAATAAACATTGAAAAAAGTTTAAATAAAATAAAATCTTAAGGCGCACCTGGCTGGCTCAGTTGGAAAAGCATGTGACTCTTGATCTTGGGGGCATGAGTTTGAGCCCCGTGTTGGGTGTAGAGATAAATAAAAAATTGTTAATCTTTAAAAAAAGAAACACACACACACACACACACACACACACACACACACACACAGTGGAACATTATTCAGCCTTTAAAAGGAATGAAATTTATCAATAGACGCCATAAACATAGATTGTGTCCGTGGGATAGAGACACATTGAAATAAGCCAGTCACAAAAGGACAAACAGTGTATGATTCTGTTTACATGAAGTGCCTAGAGTAATCAACATGATAGGGAGAGAAAGTAGAATAGTGGTTACCAGAGACCAAGGGGGAAGTAGTGGGGAGAAGCTTAAGGGCAGTTTCAGCTGATGATGCAAAAAGTCTGAGACAGATATAGAAGTACAAGGTAACAATTTGAATATATTCAATGCCCTTAAAAATGGCTAAAATGAGGGGCCATTTTGGGTAGCCTGAATGTTGCTGCTGCCCCTGACCAGCTCTCGCTCAGGTCATGATCTCTCGAAACCGGGCGAAGCTCGAAGCCCCACATTGGCTCTGGGCTGATGGCTCAGAGCCTGAGCCTGTTTCAGATTCTGCCCCCCCCTGACCTCCCTGCTCATGCGTTGTGCCCTCTCTCTCTGTCTCACAAATAAAAAAAAAAAAAAAATGGCTAAAATGATAAAGTGTGTATTGTGAAACATGTATGCAGTGCATAAATGTGTATGTATGTGTGTGCAGAGGGGGTGAATAAGATATCACCTGTGTCACCACCACCAGGTCAAGAAGCCCACACCACGCTCTTTGCACTTATAGTCATGTTGGTGAGAGGGGCTGAATAGGGAGAGGTCTTCTCTCTTCTCCTCCTTAACTTCCACAACCACCCAGACATTTCACCTTTTTGATTTCTCTACTCTAGATGTTCTCCAAGTACCGATCTGAAAGTCAGCTGACTTTTTTTTTCTCTTCCCCATAACCATAACTAAAGAAGAAACCATTTTGACATATAACCTCATTGACATAACATCAAACAGGTTTTATTTCCGCCTTCTGCCTGTACATGGTGAATCTGGACGGATATTTCATTTTCAATTCACAGACATATGACAGGTCGCGACAATGCAGCAGCAGCCAGCAGTATCCTTTTGTTTTCACGGCATTGGGTGTATCTTTCTCAAAAAAAGAGAGGTTCCGAAAAGTGCGTGATGTAAATGAATACGGGTAAGATAAATTATAATTTAAAAGGTTTCCTGAAGGAATCATATAGAAAGAAATTTGGATAGTGAATAAATTGTCCTCTATTTTCAGTAAGCCAATCTTTAGGCCCCAACCCACAGTAGAGAAATACATTTTATGGGGGTGCCTGGGTGGCTTAGTCGTGTTGCTGCCTGACTCCCTGCTCAGGTCATGATCTCATAGTTTGTGGGTTTACGCCTGTCATAGGGGACATGCTGAAAGTTCTGAGCCTGGAGCTCTTCCTTAGATCTCTTGTGTCATTCTCTCTCTTTCTCTGTCTCCCCCCTCTCTCTCCTCCCTCTCTCTCAAAATAAATAAAAGCATTTAAAAAAATTTTTTTAAAAAGAAAATATGTTTAAAAAAAAAAGAATACAGGCTTCCAGCAGTGAAAGGGGTCGGTTAAGCCGGGTCTCAGCTGTGGTCACGACACTGTGGTCCCAGGAGTTCTGGAGTCTGCCTGGCCAGGGTTTCTCAGGCTGATGGCTCAGAGCCTGGAGCCTGTTTCCGATTCTCCCAGGTCTCCCTCTGCCCTCCCCTGTTCATGCTCTGTCTCTTCTGTCCCAAAAATAAATAAAAATTCCATGTTAGAGTAAAAATTTTTTTTAAATAAAAAAAAAAGAAATACATTTTACGTCAGCCCAGCACACACATGCATGTATTCAACTGGTCCATACATTGCACAAAACAGTACTTAGCCTGACCGCATGACTGCACGAGATATATTCTGAAATTTTGTCCTAGGCTCCTCTGTGAAAGTGCTGGGTGCAATCCACAAAAATTGATTTCGTGACTCATTAATAGGTCTCAGCCCCCAGTTTGAAAACACTACACCAGTTTAAATATTTTATCAGTCTGGATGTTTCCGTTTTGCACAGTGTAGCTTAACTGCCCACGCCTTGCATTCTGCATCGTGGAGAAAATCTAGCGCCTAAGATCTGAGGGACAGTGACATTTCCAGACACTGTGAGGGGAAAAAAGTGAGGAAAACTCACCTCAGCTTTCTGCTTCTACTGCCAGCAGGAGACTGATAAACTCTAGGTTTTCTCAGACCTAGAAATTAACCCTTGTTCTGTGGTGGATTTTTTGAGGGAGAGCAAACAAGTGTTTGTTTGTTTCAGCCCTTTCTTCCCATGCAAATTCAAAGTCGTTTTGGTTTTTTAATCTTTTTGGACCACCTTCTTTCTCTCAATTGCCCCTCAGAAAGTTATTCAAGTCCACAAAACAGTCAAATGACTCAAGATCCAGGTCCCTATTCTCCTTGACATTGCCGTTCTCTCCCCCGGCCGCCCCCCGCCCCCCGCCCCCGGTACAACAAGGGACCCAAGGGAAGGTGGGGGGCGAGGGCTGCAAAAGAGGAGGGGAGTGGAAAGAAGGAACGGGGGCGGCTGGACAGGTCGTGGCTGAGTGAACCGGCTCGTCCTTCCCGTTTGGCTTTGCTAGGTGACTGGGTGACGGAGGTTGGCCGGGAAGGCTGACTTTGCGCGGGGTGTGCTGGCCGGCGCCTCGCCTTTGCCTTTGCGCTTTGTACCCAACGGCGCGCGCGAGCGGCCGCGCTCAGGTGCGGTGGGAGGGTCTGCGCTCTCCTTTCACTTTCTCCGGTCGCCAAAGCGGACACCTGGGGACGGAACCACAGCTCCCACCAGGCCAGCGAGGCAGGAGGACGGAAAAGGAAAGCTCGGAGAAGAAGTGAACATTACCTGCTAGCAGAGGTGAGAGAGCGAGCCAGGTAAGCAACAGGTGGACCAGGAAGGTGAGGGTTACAGGATGCGGAATGAAGGGCACCGGCGGGGGCGGGCGGGGGGCACCGCTCTTTCCTCCTTGCGGCGCCGCAGGCTTGGGTGAAGAGGGCTTCTGTGGAAACCCTGAGGACTTACTTGGGCAAGGGGGCCGTGGAAGCAAGATTCCAGCTCAAGTGCCAGGGATATGACACCGGAAGTAGAAGGGCCTCATTTGAAAAGCCAGAAGGAACAAAGAAAGGGGTTTCATCGTGGCTTTTGTCTGCTGGATCATTTAGCCATAGGTGACTTCAGAGGTGTCCAAGAGAGGTATGGGATCCTTCTTCATCCATTTAAAGCTCAGGGTTTTCCCAGGCAG